TGTAAGGAAGCCGGGACCCGCTGGGATGGGGATGGGGGGGCGATGAGCGGGGGAACCCGGGATGGGGGCGTGGAAGGGAGGGAACACCAAGGCCCACCCAAGCCCGGCCCGCCAGCCTGCCGCGGAGGTGACCACACCCCAGCCTTGGCTTCAGCTGCAGGGAGCCCCAGGCGGACACAGCCAGAGTCAGAGAAGTGGTTCTTCCAGACCAAGCCCCAGAGCCCCTGCCTGGTGAGACTCATAGACACAGACTGAGGCCCCCAAGCAGATACCCTCCAAAGCCAGCACCTGAGTCCTAGATAGCCCCCTCACCCCCACCCAGGCATTCCTGAAAGACTTGTCCCAGACTAATTTGGGGGTTGGGGGCCATAGTAATGTTCTAAGGATAGGTCAGACCCCAGGTTCAGAGACTTTCCATCGGAGACCACGACAGACAACGAAATAAAGAGATCTCACAAGGCATACATACTAGACACAATGAAATCTCTCAGAGATGAGACAGACACAGTGAACCCACCCTCAGACCTTCCCTCCGAGACTTGGAAATATACAGACGCAGGTAAACTGAACTCCAGGCCCAAGCCCCATGCAGACACAGGGAAAACACTCCAAGGCAGCCAAAAACCCCAGCCATCCTGCAAGACAAAGTCCTTCCCGAACATTGAGCTGACCCAGGCCTGTTCCAAAACAGCCCTTTCCCAAGATTCTGATGAACACAGAGAAGAAAGCAAGACACAGACTCCAGCCACAGCATAACATGAGGCCTCCCTGGACCGAAACCTTGAGAAATCAAGGTTGGAAATGAGACACTGTAGAGGTGGGTGTGGGCGCACTGTGCTGCGGCCACTGTGCTGGAAAGAACTGAGCACTGGACTGTGGGTCTCAACCCAGCAGCAAATCAGAACAACCTGAGGAGCTTTTTAAAAATACTGATGCCCAGGGAACCTACCCTCAGTGCAGTCAAAAGGGCCCAGGCATCAGTATTCTTTAAAAGCTCTCTGCATGGTTCTAATGCACAGCCTGAGAACCAAAGACCTGGATGAACACCCACAGATGCACAGCCAGCAAGTGCCAACCTTAGCTGCCCAGTAGCAGACCCCGGCAGGCCTCATCCAGCACACTCCTCAGTCAGGCTGCCACCCAAATGGTCAAGAATCTGGAAGCCTGCCTTGGGGGGTAGTCACAGCAATGTGAGCCCTTCTCTCACTGAATGCCAGTACGGGGCTTTGGTTCTCTCTGGCCATGACTAAGACAGGGCCTCAGAGACTCCAGAAACACAGCTGTCTTCCCTCAGGCAGACAGCAGTAGGTCTCAAGAGATGAAAACAGACCCAAAGACTGAGGGTCCAAGATGAGTGAAGGACAGTCAGAAAATAGTAGTGCCAAGGCCTTAGACACACACACCAACATTGACAGCATTTCCTCAGCACAACCCTCTCAGCCTTGGTCAGGCCTATGTGTCCAGCTGAGGGGCTGTGTCGAGCAATGAGGCCCTTGCCAAGGCCTTAGACACACACACCCCTCTCAGCCTTGGTCAGGCCTATGTGTCCAGCTGAGGGGCTGTGTCGAGCAATGAGGCCCTGTAAGCAGGAAGCAGACTTCCCCTAGGGCCCAAAACCACATCCTAGGGAGAAGCCTGGAAACTCCACCCTATCCCAGGGCTCCAGGAATCACTGGACAATTACTTGTTAAATTCCTTCATGCCAAGGGCGGCTGACACAAAGACCTGTGACCTGTGACCCAGAGACCTGGACAAGACCGTGCTTGGTGGGTGAAGGGGCCGGGGTATTACCACAGGAAAGTAAGCAGAGACACATACAATAGAGGTATACAGCTCCCAAGTTTTTAATGTCAACTATAGAGGGCTGGGCCAGGCCAGGCACCTGGGGCCCCGGACTGTTCTCCTCTTGGACCCCACACCCAGACCCTGGTCTTGGCTTCTTATTCCTGGGTCTTCAGACCATCATCCTGGGGACCAGTTCCATCTTCTCATCTGTCCTCGATGATGACTCCTTCTGCTCAGTCTCCTCCCGTGCCACTCTGAGGGAGGCCTCCTTCACAGCCAACTTGTTCTTACGTCCCCTCCAAGGGGACATCAACAGTCTAGGCTGGGACCCTTGTCCCTGACTTAATTCCCATCACCACAGCCAGCAGAGCCTCTGTCAGGGGGCCTGTCTCCTCCCCTGCTGCCTCCACAAGCCCCACCAGGGCCAGGGCCCGCTTCCGTGGGCACTGCCCAGGCCCCAGTGTCCATTGGGCACAGTGGGCAGCCAGCCGGGGCCGGCCCAAGCGGAACACCTCAGCCACTGACTCTGGGCCACCCTGGGGTCCCAGATGGATGTGGCTCACGGCCTCTTCCAGCTCCTCCTCCAGCTCAGGCAGCAGGAAACGGCCAGCAGCCTCCAATGCCTCCTCAGCCTCTGAGCCCAGCAGAGGCTCACCTGGTGGGGGCACGGGCCCCAGGACAGCACCACAGCCCCGACAGCCATGCAAATGATGCAGGATGGGCCAGGCTGCACTGGATGACAGTCCTCGCAGTGGCACCAGGTCCATCTGGGCTTCAGCAAAGCTGCCAGATAGCAGGGCCCGGAAAAAAGGGGAGGCAGTAGCCGAGGCAGCTCGCAGGGCAGGGAGCTGTAGGCCTGAGTCCAGTAGGAAGTGCAGGTCAGGAGCAGGGATGGGAGCTGGGTCCAGCAGACGTGCATAGAGGCAAGGGGAAGGTGAGTCTAGATCCCAAGGGATTGCAGGTGGGAGAGCTGGGCTCACAGTGGGAGACATCAGACCTTGGAGGCAGGAAAGGGAGTCCGCAGCAAAGAAGAGGAAGAGCGGGTGTGGAGCTGGTTGGGTTAGTGCCATGAGGAGGAGACGGAGGCCGCCCTGGTCCAGAAGTAGCCGGCGCCACAGAGAGGGCTTCCTGAGGGGAAGAGGAAGTCTTTCAGGAGGTGGGAAAAAAAATGGGACTGGGAAATATCAACCTTGCTCCTCTGACCCCTGTAAGGCTCCCATATCCCGCTCACCGGCAGATGAAGGGAAGGGTCAGTGCACAGGCCACACGGTCTTCAGGGCTCCCAGAGAGCAGCAAGTGAGTGAGGGCACCTACTCCAAAGGGTGATTCGGCCTGTACGGTCAGGTTCTGCAGCAGCATCTCACCTGCAGGGAAGGGCAGAGCCGGTCAGGTTGGGAGTTGGTGTCCCAGATTGGGGTGGAGGGGGATGGGCAAGACAGGACTCTGGGCCCTTGAAAGTAAGGAAGGTGAACCCTCATGGCAAGAAATCAGGACATGGAAGAGGGATGACTGCAGGCCCTGGAGGGAGGGGGTCAGTATGGTAGGAAGTAGAACTTGAGAGCAAGAACAGAAAGTGGGATGGTCAGGGTGCAAGTCTGTGCCCTCAAGGACTGAAACAGTCTGCAGTCAGGGCGCAGAAGACAGGACAGTCCCTGACAGTGTTGGAAGTGGTGGTGGGGCCTGAGAGGACATGGTGCCTGAGCCTGGGGGTTCACAAATCATTGTGCCTTGTGGGGAAGTGGTCAGGACAATGCAAAACCAAAAAGAGACTGACTAAAGAAATGCAGACAGGCAAGATTCTAGGTTGTTGGGGCCACACCTAGGGTCAGGGTATCTGAGCCCCAAGTCTTGGACAAAGGATAGAGAAGAACTTTGCATGCTGGGCTCTGGAACAGAAGGGAGTGTCTCGAACTACCCCCAAACCTGGTCACTGAGGTTGTTTGGGTGGTGGGCTGGGGAGGACAGTGAGAGGGCAAGTGGCAGTAAAGCAAGGTCCTGGGTCCACAGAAGGCGTAGGAAGAGGAAGGGGCCTCGCACGTGGGCAGCGTGGCCAGTGACATACCCAGTTCTCGGTGCTGGCTGCGGCGAGTGGGCCGGGCACGTGGCGTGGGCCAGTCATCTGGCGCGATGCCCAGCACCAGCCAGGCGCGCAGCAGTGCCGCGCCATAGCTGCGCACGAAGGCCTCGAGGCAGGCAGGGTTGCAGGTGAGGCGCGCCAGGATGCGCAGTGCACGCGGGCTCGGCGGGCCGGGTGCACCTGTCACATAGGCCAGTAGGCCGCACAGCGCGGGGCCAGTCACCAGCGCCCCACTCGGGTCGGAAGCCTGAGAGAAGCGTGACAGCAGCAGCAGCGCCGGCCCCTCACGGCCCCAAGGCTCCTCAGTGGCCGCGGCAGGGCAGCGGCCAGGCGTGCACAGTGTGCTGGGCGCCCGCAGTGTGGTGCAGCCTGGGGTGGGGCTGGCTGGCTCTGTGGACTCCGGTGGTGGACAATGCTCAGGAGACCAGTCTGGAGAGATATCTCCAGGTCCCGCGGCATAGCCCTCGGAGATTAGCCACGACCTGCAGATGGCACAGAGACCAAGGAGAAGGAGCAGAGTCAAGAGTGGTCTTGCAAGAGGAGGTAAAGCCAGGCAAGAAGAGGAGGGTAGACAAGGAGTGAAGAAAGGAAGGAGAAGGTGGGGAGGGGCCTCATTCAGCTATTCCTGATGCCTGTATGTGCCAAGTCCTGTTTCAGGAACAAAGTTCCTGTCCTCCCAAGTTTATGCTCCAGTGAGGGAAGCAGACAACAGTATTATAAGTAAACCATATGGCATGTTAGTGTGGAGTTCGTGCCATTTGAAATGCTAACAGAGAAAAAAAAGGAATAGAAAGAGTCAGGGAAGAGGAGAGTTGAAATTTTAAAAGGGTGGTGATGGGAGCCCCCACTGGGAAGGTAAGATCTGAACAAAGACCTGGAGGTGAGAGATGAAAGCATTACAGGAGGAGGCATGTTCTGGGCAGAAGAAAGAGCAACCAGAGGCCCTAAGATGGAGCTACCTGTCACATTCAAAAACTAGCTAGAGGCCAGGGTGTAAGAGCGCAAGCACCAGGGACAGTGGTAGGAGATGGAGCCAGAGAGTCCACAAGAAGGCTGACATGAACAGAGCGCCACTCAGTGCCAGGTAAGGGGCAAAGTGCCCTCATTTAATCTTCACAACGATTGGATAATGGACATAAAGAATAAGTATGATCTGTAACAATGAAGATGCTAATAAAAAAACAAAAATCTTCACAACAACCCTATGGGGTATGTATGCTATTATCCTCCATTTTACACACAACAATCAGAGGCTCGGAGAAGGTAATTAGCTCTCCCATGATGTTTCAACTTTTTTTTTTTTTTTTAAAGATGACTGGTAAGGGGATCTTAACCCTTGAGTTGGTGTTGTCAGCACCATGCTCTCCAAAGTGAGCGAACCAGCCATCCCTATATGGGATCTGAACCCGTGGCCTTGGTGTTATCAGCACCGCACTCTCCCAAGAGAGCCACGGGCCAGCCCATGATGTTTCAGCTTCTAAGTAATGGTAACAGAATAAAAAGTTAGGGACTGGCCGGTTAGCTCAGTTGGTTGGAGAACAGCCTTATAACCCCAAGGTCATGGGTTTAGATCCCAGTATCAGTCAGCCACAAAAAACAAAGAAAAAGAAAAAAATTCCAGAGAATACCAGCTCACCCAGTGTACATACTATCTCCCAAAAACTTGTCTGGGGTCCTAAGTTCAGAGGTGCTGGGGTGGAGCCAAGGTCAAAAGGCAGATTCAGAGGAGAGATGTGTTTAATGGAAACTGGAAAGTGGTCATGTCAAGGAAGAACAAGGAATCAGGAGTCAGAGTCAATAAACATCTTTCTGAGACAGAATGAGGTGGGAGTAGTGAGGAGGGCCAGAGCAGACACAAACCCCCACCCACAGCATGGCTCACCCTCCCAAGCCCTGAGGTCAGGACTCACCTGAGGCTTCGGAAGCTTCCAGCCTCTGCCGGCTCAGGGGTCCGCTCCTCAGGGAAGTCCCAGGAAGCGGCTTCTCTTCCCTCCTCTTCCTCATCACCAGCCTCACCACACAACTGTCCAGCCAGGAGAGGTACAAGTCCCAGGGCCTGGAGCCGGCCCAGGGCCCCAGTATCATAGAGGAAGCCCACGAGGGCAGCCACAACGCGAGGGTGCCAGGCACTGGCACGAGGGTCCCGCAGCAGGCCCATCAGCAGCTCCAAACCTCCAGCATCCCGCAGCCGGGCCCGATTGATGGCCTCCCGGCACAGAAGGCACACAGCCCGCACCAGGGGCTGCTGGGAGGCTGGGCCAGCCCCATTGGGGCCCCGGCGCCGCCGGAGCTCACCTAGCAGCACCTCCACACCACCAGCATTGCCCAGTGCAGGCCGCACCAGACCCTGGGCACACAGATTAGCGAGGATCAGGATGGTTGCCTCACGTACCGCCCGTTTGGGGTGAGAAGCCAGGCTGACAAGTGGGCCCAGTCCCCCGCCCAGACTCAGCTGCTCAGCACAGGCCCGGGAGCAGCCTCGGCTGAGTTCCAGGAGGGCACGGACTAGGGCCGAGGTCAGTGCGGGGTCTGGGGCAGCAGCCAGGAGCTCAGCCAGAGGGCGCACTGCTCCCTGCTGTGCCAAGGCCAGGCGGTGCTGGGGTGAGTCCGCCAGGTTGCGGAGGGCACGCACCACACTCTGCAGACACTGTGAGTCCTGGCACGCTGTCAGGCTCTCAACAAGCAGGGGAACAGCGCCTGGAGAGGGAAGGGGAGGACAAAGGGTGAGCAAGGACAGACAGCCAAGCCCTTCTTCCACCCCAAGCCCTAGCTAACCCCACCCTCACAGCCTTCTCACCAGCAGAGTGGATGTCCCCACAGCTCTCAGGTTCCATGGCTAAGTTCCCCAGGGCACGGGCTGTTCGGTTCTGTATGCTGTCTGTCTTCACACACTGAAGAATGGTCACTGCAAGGAGAGTTTGGCCTTTTGAGGGCTCTGCCCCTTACTGTCTCTCTCATCAATCACCTCAAGAATGTGGCCTAAAAGCATCAGGGAAGGCCTTCAGCAAAGGCTAATGCTTGAACTAGGTTGGAGGCTAAATAGGTAGGTATTTGCTAGAAGGATGGTGCATGGGGGTGTTACAGAGCATTTCAGGTTTGGAAGCAGCCTTCGCAGAGGCCCAGAGGTAAGACCCAGTGTCTGTGCTGTGACCTAACAAAGGGCCTTGAATGCCAGGGCAAGGGTTCGGGACTTAAGTGTGAAGGCACTGGGAACCACACAAGGGTTTTAAGAAGGGAAGTGAAATGATCCAATCTGGTATCCATGAAGAGAATGGATAACAACGGAAAGGAACAGGGCAGGAGGAGTGACAAAGAGGCTGTCACAACAGTCCAGGCAAGAAAGTACAATGGCTTGAACCAAGTCAGCTACCAGCATTGCCCAGCATGGGGGTACTAGTCTCTGGGTGAGTGGTGGAGGCAGGGATAGAAACAAGTGAATGGATTCAGGAGATATTTAAAATGCAAAACAGTGTCTGAATGATAGGGATTACATACTAATAACAAAACCCATCACTTTTAGAGGACTTAATATACCAGGCCTCTTGTCAAAAACATTATGGTCCGGATGCATTTTATGCAAATTTTAAATATATTAATGCTTCACTTTCTCCAAAAAATTAAGATTTCGTTAAAACTGGCAAAATGTCATAGAGGGCGGGCAATGATGTGTAAACTGTGTTTGCATTACTGCCACTAGGAGGCGCCAATTTAGCTGTTAAACAGAAAAGCTTGTTATCTTTTGTTGGGATTTATTCTTACTGTGCTGGTTTTTAATAACTCGAAGTACCCAGCCCATGCTTACAGTATCTGCGTTCTATATTTGTATTTCGTTTTCTCCCAACTCTAATTTTGTGAGGTAGCTATTATTATCCCATTTTACAACAGGAAGTCCTAGCCTCGGAGGAGTTAGGTGTGTTGGCCAGGTCTGACTGACCATAGAACCCATTTTCAGCACGACTCCACCTTCTAGCCTCCGGCTCATCAAGTGGGGCTTCGGACCCTTGCACAGAGTAGGCATTGAGTGTCTGCTATGAACATCATAAATGGAGGATAAGAATCACGTGAAAAAGTCACCAAATAATCCTTTGGCCTCCACCAGCCCAGATGCAAGGGAGGTGCTGACAACCAATACCCAGATAACGGTTGTAATTATCCGGGCTGGAAAAGCTCGGGTATAATCTATAGAGAGAGCAGTGACATCACGGGTCGTGATGGCTTGAGAGATGGGGGCACTGCACTGTCACAAAGTACGTTATTCCAGGTTATGACACAAAAAATTCGACTTTGCCCAGGCCGTGACAGCGACGGAGACGCGGGTGGAATCCTTCTAGGAAATGGGGGCGGAGCACTTACCCAAAGGGAGAATGCCTCCGAGTCTGCGCACTTCAGCCCGGCACGCCCCTTCCGTACAGCAGTTAGCCAAGATGCTGAGCGCCAAGTCCAGGGTCTTACGCAGGCGCACTGGCGGCGAAGGCGTCGACGACAAAGCGGAGGGGGCGGGGCCCGGCGAGGGGGCGGGGCCGGCAGAAACAGCTGACATGACAGGCGAGGGGACGGGGCCGGCCTGGGACGGGGCGGGGCCTGCTGCAGCCGCTCGTCGTAGCAGCGCGAGAAGGGGGCGGAGCCCGCCGCGTGCCCGGAAGCGCTCGATTCCCCCCGATGCCTTGATGTGGCGCGTGCGGAGGGCTAAGAGCGCACGGCCCAGGGGTGTCTCGTTGGTAGCTGGGTCCTTTCCCCCCGCGAGACTCGCCCCGGCCGCCGCCGTGAGCTGCGCGAGGCAGAACGAGAGCGAGTCCGTGAGGGTTGGCTTCCCAGCCGCCATCTTGGCTCGGGCCTAAGGCTCCGCCCCACCGCTCGCCGCTTATCTGAGGGAGCTGCCCTGGAGGAGAGGGGCGTAGCCAGGCCGCTCCTCGCTGACGCTATTTAAATAGCGCCGCCGCAGTTATCCTGCAAGTCGGAAGTTGTAGTTCTCGGACCCGGAACTCTGGTTAGTGCACGGTCGCAGAAAGCACGTCGGGAGTGGTGGTTATCTAATCATTGTGCGAGCCCAAGAGCGTGTGCGGAGCGTGCCGGGATATGTATTCCGCGCCCGGCCTAACTCGCCCAGCTCAGGACCTCTTCCAGGGGCCTCTGGGGAACCCAGGCATCCGATCATGGAGTGTTCCTTCCGTGCTGCTCCGGCTGACTTGGCTACTCCGACCCCAGAGTGTCCTTGGCAGCGACCGCTTTTCCTCCTTTCGGGTTCACTTCGCTGCCCCCCAGCGGTGGCGGCTGACGGGCTCCGAGCACCTCCAGCCAGGCCGATAGTGTCAATTTCTGACAGCGGCCGCACATGGGGTGCTCTGGCTCGGCCAGGTGAATGAGAGGGTTAAACCTACCGAGAACGTTCGGGCTAGTGCTTGAGCGGCTAGAGCGGCAGGTGCTTGTGGACCTTTCCGTTTCCGGCTCTGGACTCCTAGGCCCCGAGTGTTCCCAGCTGTGACTGTGCTTGTAAGCTGAGTAGTTGGCATCTAGGAGACGGGGCACTCTTCACCCGCGATGGGGTCGGAGGCTCCAGAAGTGGCGAAGGAGAACCCGTACGGGGTGGAGTGGCAGAGGAACGGGACATCATGGTCCTTGGGAGTCCCCAGGTCGCCCCTGGATTGCAAGGTGGTTCCACCTCAGCGGCCCTTCCTGGTGTGGCCCGAGCAGCCGGCTGCCCAGGAAATAATGCTGGGCCTGCAATACCTAGGTAGGTCAGGCTCTGGCCCTGGAAGGAAAGAAACCCCTGCCAAGACTAACTGTCTTGCAGTCCCCAAAACCTTCGAGTGCCGTAAGTGTGGACTGACCTCAGCCTGCCTCCCTGACCTCATTCACCACCAAAGCAGCCACGCAGGTGACAAGTCTTACAGCTGTCCGGAGTGTGGCAAAAGCTTCCGACGTGGCTCAGATCTGGTTAAGCACCACCGGGTACACACTGGTGAAAAACCGTACCCTTGTCCCGAGTGTGGCCGTTGCTTCAGCCTCAGCTCTAACCTCATCCAACACCGTCGCTCCCATTCAGGCCTCCGGCCCCACAAGTGCCTGGAGTGCGGGGAGGCCTTTGGCCGCAGCTCGGACCTAGTTAAACACCAACGGGTTCACACGGGTGAGAAGCCCTACACATGTGCTGAGTGTGGTAAGACTTTCAGCGTTAGCTCCAACCTGATCCAACATCAGCGCACGCACACCGGTGAAAAGCCCTACCGCTGTGGGGACTGCGGCAAGAGCTTCAGCCTTAGCTCCAACCTGTTGCAGCACCAGCGCTCACACACGGGTGAGAAGCCCTACCACTGTGCCTGGTGTGGTGACAGCTTTGGGCGCAGCTCGTATCTGCTCAAGCACCAGCGTTCACACACTGGTGAGAAGCCCTACAATTGCTCTGAGTGTGGCAAGAACTTCACCAACAGCTCGGACTGTCTACGGCACCAACGCACCCACAATGGAGAGCGGCCCTTCAAGTGTCAATGCGGCCGTGGCTTTAGTGAGCGCACTTAGTTCACTGAGCACCAGCGCATCCACTTGGGTGAACGACCCTATGCCTGTTCAGAATGTGGCAAAAGCTTTTACTACAGCTCAAAGCTCTTTAAACACCAACGATCACAAACGGGTGAGAAGCCCTACAAGTGCCCTGACTGCAGCAAGAGTTTTGTGGACAGTTCGAATCTGCTGCAGCACCAGCATGTTCACGTGGGCCAGAAACCTTATGCTTGCAGTGAGTGTGACACGGGTGAGAAGCCCTACAAGTGCCCTGACTGCAGCAAGAGTTTCGTGGACAGTTCAAATCTGCTGCAGCACCAGCATGTTCACGTGGGCCAGAAACCTTATGCTTGCAGTGAGTGTGATAAGAGCTTCAGCCAGAGCTCCCACCTGCTCGTTCACCAGGTGGCCCACAGCGGTGAGAAGCCATTTGTCTGCCTGCAGTGTGGCAAGGCCTTTGCCCGCAGCTCCAACCTGGGCCAGCACCAGTGGACACACCAGGGCGGCAGCCTCTGCAAATATCCCTGGCTTCAGTTTTAGCCTAAACTTCAGTTCTGACTTTGGTCCAGTTTTCAGAGAGCCTGAAGGGACCACGTCTCAAAACTGACCCCCTTTCTGCTCCTCTAGGGCTATTGATTTGAGGGCTGATGATGGGATTTGGGAGGGCCTCCACATCCTTTCCCAGATCTTCTGGGCTGAGTCAGGGAACCCAAGGCTGGAAGAATTAGAACACTAGAGCTGTGAGCACTACCTCCAAGCAGTTGTCCCAGATAATAGGGCTTCAGCCTGTTCTCTGAGGCTACAGAGACAGTAACGACTGCCAGCTGGAGGGAGAGTTTTTGGTTTTTTTTGTTTGTTTGTTTTTGTTTTTTAAAAGATGACCAGTAAGGGGATCTTAACCCTTGACTTGGTGTTGTCAGCACCACACTCACCCAGTGAGCGAACCGGCCATCCCTATATGGGATCCGAACCCGGGGCCTTGGTGTTATCAGCACCGCACTCTCCCGAGTGAGCCACGGGCCGGCCCCATGGAGGGAGAGTTTTTGGATAGCAGGAGCTGTCCCGCACTTGCCCAGCTGCTTGCAGACATAGGACACCTCCAGCAGCTACTGACCTGATCTCTTCACAGACTTAAAGAGTGATGTGGTTAATCACACCGAGAGCAACAACTTGGCTAGAAAGATTCCAAAGGGCGGTGGGGGGAAGAGCAACAACTACCTCTTCCCAGAGGAATAGGACCAAAGCCAGGCAAGCCCCTGTGGGGAATGCAATGGCAAGGAGAGGGGGACATTCCTGACCTCCAGAGGGGACCATAAGGAAGGCTGTGTTGTGGCAGAGGGATCAGAGAATTTGAGCTTGGGACCATTATGTGAGCTCTGGGGTGTAGGACCCCTTTGAAAGACCTCTCACCACATGAGGATTATCTTTACAGGTGAGGCTAAGGTGGTGGAGCCCCCGAACAGACCTGTCTGTTTAGTTCCGGGGATGCTTTGTGACATTTCTAAGCAGGGGCAAAAGGCTCAGGATTTGTCATCTGCTCCTTCCCCTTCCTCAGCCCCTTCCCTCGTATGTTCCCCGGGCTCTTTCTGTGCCCCCCCTGTCAATAGAGGAAAAAGTCGTGAAGACTAACTGGTGCCTGGACATTGGGGACCTAACATGGCCTTTTTGCCCGGCCATTGTGGAGGGCTGCCCACACACATGTATGTCTACTGGGAAAACTTTGTGTGTATGGGAGTTAGCGGAGGCTTCTCAAAGTGTTACATAATCTGTGCTCAGAGCAGGGTCCAAGCTGTCAGGCCTTTTCCTTTCCTCCCCATAGCTTCCTGTGTTCTTGGGAGAGGCACAGACCATAGTCCTTCTTTGGTTGGAAGAGGGAGTTGTCTGTTCAAGGTCCTAATGCCCACTCTTGTGGGACAGTCCTTCCACCATTAGCCCCAGGCACCTGGTCTCCTGCCCCTAAATGTTACTTGCTGCATTTAGGACTGTACCCACAGAGAGTAGGAGGAAATGGGAAGGAATATGTAGTAACCCCACCCTCACCTTCTAGCACAGTGTCCAGGCTTGTCTCTTCCTAGCTGTGTGACCTTGGCTACACAAGGAGAAGGATGACCTCTTCTCATCCTCAGTTTGTTCGTCTGTAAAACAGGGATGATGATGGTTCCCACAAGAGGTTGTGGTGAAGATTCCATGAGAACGTCTACATGAGCACCTGAATCAAGAGAGTGACTCTAAAGCTCAGTTCCCCTTTCTTTCTCCCTCAAGTCTGGTGCCCTGTCACTGTTGGTGTGGGTCAACAAGCGTAATGCCAGCTCACACACTAGCTCCTCCCCAAGGTTACAGAAGTGAATGAGACAGCCCCAGTCCTGGGGTAGCTTGCTGTCCTGTGAAGGAGATGGACTCAGGACCAGCAACGACACAGTGTGAATTATGCTGGCAGTGAGAAGGGACTTTGCCTGGAGCAAATCTGGGAGGCTTCATCAAGGTGACATCTAATGAACAGCACTTGTCTCCTCAAGCTGGGAGCCACAGATGCCCCGGGCAGGGGTCAGTGATGAAGGAAAGGATTCCTGACATGTTCTACATCAATGACACTTCAGAGAGTACAAGTCAGTGTTTGAGTCGGAGGCCTGAGCCCAGCACATACATAGCAGCATTCAATAAATAGTTGTTATGATCAAGTCCTGTTTATACTGCTTACTAGTGGCCTTTGGGCCTCAGTTTCCTCAGAGTGGCACTGAGTGACTGTCGAGTATTGTAAACATACTTTGCAAAATCTGGAACTGCATATGGATGTTAGGAATGTTGTGGAAATGAGCATTGGAGAAGGGTTGTTTGCAAAATCCCTTTCAGAGAACTGGAAGCTAATTTCTCACATTAGGGTAGGTATACCTGGGCCCTTTCACCTCTGAAATTGCAGAAAACAGATCCTGACCAGAACAGGGAGGCAGGCCAGACCTCAGAAGCAGGAGGGATGGGCTTAATCCAACAGATGTTTATCCAGCATTCACTGTGCCCTGAGCTGGGAGTAGAAGCAGCCTCACTGTCCAAGCATGTGACCAGTGCTTAGGCCAGAGATGGCAAACTCATTTGTTTTGGCCCTCACTGTGTGTGTGTGTGTGTGTGTATTTAAACAATTGAGCCAGCATTTAAATGAGGAGATTTACATCACAGTCTAGATTTCTAGTTTTTTGTTTGTTCATCTTGCTTTTTAAGTCAGAATTTAAACAATTGAGCCAGCATTTAAATGAGAAGATTTACATCACAGTCTAGATTTCTAGTTTTTTGTTTGTTCATCTTGCTTTTTAAGTCAGAAGATTCAGCAGCATTGAGTCTTTAGCAGTGGCTTTAGCATGGCAGTCTCCACCCTTCCCTGTCCCTGACCTTGTATGTTTCATTTGTGTTATTTGCCTGAGCCCTACAGAAAGGCATTTGGGGTTGCAATGCCCATACCACACTGTTAAGAGTGAGGACTCCTCCATGCACTGAAGCCAAAATGTTCCTTTTCCTTCACCTTTTCCTCCCCCTCTACCTCTCCATTTTCCTTCCCCTCTCCCAGCAGTCCCCAATGACAGACCTGCCCTCCTTTCCTGAGCCTGCCTGTCTCCCTGCACCCCACCCAAACCCTAGATACCACCCCCTAATTTGAAGCTTCTTTCCCCATCTGAAAGGAGGCAGGGACAGAGCATGCAAGCCCGGCTAGGCAAGGCAAAACCCCGTGTGCCTCAGTCAGGGGTCAGAATATTGGGCTGTGGCCCATGTGGCCTCCAGGAGATGGTCCTTGGCAGATAATCCTCACAGAGCTATTGTAGGAATCACACAAGCAAACAAGTGTGGAGGCGCTCTGTAAACACCTGACTGGATGGGCATGGTGTGGGAGTTGATAACACTGTCTCCTGTGGGCCGGCCCTGCTCCAGCCTAGCTCTAGCATAAGATTGGTCCCTATACAATCACACTCTATCTCTAATCTCACCCGGTCTTGGGACTCAGGTTCCCCTCTGAGCCTGGTGGGCCATGCAGGGGCTTGTGCTGTGGGGTGAGTCTGGCCATGGTCTGGCAGCTGGAGTCCTGCTCACCTGTAAGCTCAACTGTGGTGTGGCAAGTGCTTTTGGAGGGATACTTGGGATGCTGGAGCATTCCCCCGCTGCCCCCCGGACATTCCATTGGCATGTTCCAGGAGGACAGGCACTATGTTTGCATTGTCCCTGCTGATTCCCCAGCATCCCACATGGGACAGGCACAGAGAACCTTGAGAAAGGCCTGATCACTGCCTGGGTAATTTGCAGCTTCTGGTCCTTGGGATCTGGGTCCATTTCCCAAGGGTGTGGAGGAAGAGGGGGGGAGGCTGTCCCAGGAAGGGCTGAGGAGGGTGAGCTGGCTCAGGGCACACTGCCCACTTCCTACCCCTGCCCTGCTGTGGGGCCGAAGGTCCCAGCGCTATTAAGTTCACATATGGGGGAAGGTGAGCCTGTGGGCAGAGGCAGAGATGGGGGACCATCTGGGAACAGGATGGCTGGACAGACCCAAGGAATGCAAAAGGCATCTCAGGCATTCCCTGATTTTGGCTGCTCAGGAAGGGTAGGAGGGGGGGAAGTGCCTGGCAACAAGTTGGGGGACACAACAGCCCCTATGACCTAATAGGATACTCACCTCTCTACCTTATCTCCTGGCTGATTTTGATCCCAGGGGGTTGATGATTTCTGAGAATGTCCGAGGTAGGTTCTGGCTTAGGGGTGGGAACTCAAGGCTTATGGGTCTCTGATTCCTGGGAAATGCCCCACGAGTCTCCCTTCCTCCCTGCTTCCACTGCTTCCCCACACACGCTGTTCCAGATCATGGAAGTGCTGCCTCTCACCTCCCTTGACACCAGACCCACCACAGCCTTGTGCTGCAGCTACTCAGAGTTGGAAGAGAGGAGGGAAGAGGCAGAAGCTCAGTCAGAGCCATGACTGTGAAGAACTTGGGGATGGAGAACTTCCATTAGTCATGAAGGAGACATAGCCTCCACTCCAGTCATTACCTGTGAGCAAAAGTTCTGACTTAGAGGCTCACAGTGTTTTCCCTAAGGATCGGCTAGAAGAAGCCAGGATTGGGATTCCAGCATCCTTAGTGCAGGAATCCTGTCACCAGAGAATCCCAGACTCCTCTTCTCCTGGACCCCAGGGATCTCACCCACATAACTAATATGTGTCTCTCCACCAGTGTCAGCTCTCTGGGCTAACTACAGGCTGAGACGCATCCTAGGGCACTCCTAAGTGATAGGATAAAAGAGAGGGACGGAAGCCCTGCCTGCTGTGTGTGACCTCTCTCAGGCTTGCCAGCCTCCCCCATCTGGAATCCAGCTGAGCTCCAGGAGTGAAGTAAAGGAATCTCTAGGAGTTCAAAAAGCAGAGCTGTCCAAGTTCATGCACTCAACTCCCAGGAAGGGCTCACTCAGTTTTAAAAAAGCTGTATTGTAAAAGGGTAAATGGATGAATTACTGAATTTGGTTTCTAAGCCAATGGCTTACTAGAAATAGCAAATTAGAAAAAAGAAAAAAAATTATTTTAAGGAGATCTGCACCTCCCTTTTGACTCCCCCTTTCCTTTCCTCCCTTTCCTGAACAATTACATTTCAAAGCCTTTAGGAGCAGACAGAACAAGATAGGCATCTGCTGGAGGTGTGGAGCAAGGCATGGTGGGCCAGAGCAGTGTGTCAGAGCACTGGCAGGGGAAAAAGTGTGTCCACATGAGGGTTGCATAGCACAGGTTGTCACAGCCTGACAGGGTCAGGAGGGCATGGACCAAGGGAAGGAGACTGTTTGCACTGGCTATTGATCAAATAAGTACAGACAGTCCCCTGCTTGTGATGGTTTGACTTACAATTTTTTGACTTTATG